CTGGCCTTAGTGAGAACCCTGCTCTACTGTTACATCTGACTGACTATTAGTTGTATGAAAGTATCACAGAATAAATGTATAACCCTTTATCACAAAATAACTTAAATCTTTGAAATTAAAAAAAGGGGAAAGATAATTTGGGGATCAAACAGCATATGTGCATGAAGAGAGGCTGTTTTCAACATGGCCTCAACAAAAAAAGGAAATAACCTGAAAACTTGCATCTTCCTGAGATATTATTTAAATGACCTATATATTGACCTTATTTACTGATTTTCATTAATGTGTGGGATTATTAATTAGGTTGCTATCAGTATTTAAGGATAATCTATGTAAGGGATTAACATTTAAACTGTTAAATCTTAGTTTACTTTAATCTTGTTATCCAAAGGTAACATACACTGGGTATAGATCATTATGACTTTTACTTTTATTATTTGTTTAATTTCTGTTTAGATATTTAAATGTACACGTTTGAATGGAGGAAGTATGTTTGCTGTGAACTTGATAATTATATTTTGTTATTTATACATATCAGCATCATCCTCAATTATAATGGGAAGCTAAAGTTAAATGTTCAACGAATTATAAATTTTCTAAAGACTTGTATGCAGACAGACTTTGTCAAATCCATGAAATCAAATACCCACATAAATTCAATTTTTTCTCAAACCATGAAAATTGGTACCCAAGAAAATAAATGGAAATATGTTTTAAAATACTACAATAAAATGTTGTTCCTCTCCTCTGACTGATTGAAACTAAAATGTTGGTCCTTTTCTCTGACTGATTGAAACTAAAATGTTGGTCCTTTCCTCTGACTGATTGAAACTAAAATATTGGTCCTCTCCTCTGACAGATTGAAACTAAAATGTTGGTCCTTTCCTCTGACAGATTGAAACTAAAATGTTGGTCCTTTCCTCTGACAGATTGAAACTAAAATGTTGGTCCTTTCCTCTGACAGATTGAAACTAAAATGTTGGTCCTTTCCTCTGACTGATTGAAACTAAAATGTTGGTCCTTTCCTCTGACTGATTGAAACTAAAATGTTGGTTCTTTCCTCTGACTGATTGAAACTAAAATATTGGTCCTTTCCTCTTACTGATTGAAACTAAAATGTTGGTCCTCTCCTCTGACTGATTGAAACTAAAATGTTGGTCCTTTCCTCTGACAGATTGAAACTAAAATGTTGGTCCTGTCCTCTGACTGATTGAAACTAGAATGTTGGTCCTTTCCTCTGACAGATTGAAACTAAAATGTTGGTCCTTTCCTTTAACTGATTGAAACTAAAATGTTGATCCTTTCCTCTGACTGATTGAACTGAAATAATTTGAAACTTTTATATATGGCAAGTTTAATTCTGACAAATTGAGGTCCTGTCACTACTATAATATCCAAATTGGCAGGTCATCTGATTGTTTGAAGCCATTGTTCCTTTTAAATGATTGATGGTAAATACGGTAAAAGGTCAATGGAGACACCTGAAGCTTTGTAAAGTACTAATAAGGCCTGATCTTTCAACATTATATATTTCTGACCTTATCATCAGTTTACACTGAAATGTTAATTTAAACTTACATTGTCTTATTGGTTTTGTTTGTCATTGAACGTTGGTTGCTTTTCATTTCTTTTAACTTAACTGTAATTTATATTTTGTATCCTACAGTCTTTTCTTTCGTGTATTGTTTTTTTTGCTTTTTGTTGTTATTTTGTTAACAGCCAGTAAGTAAGTTATTAAGCAGTATAATGTAGTTGTTCAGTGGTTGTCGTTTGTTAATGTGGTTCATAGGTGTTTCTTGTTTCATGTTTTTTATATAGATTAGACCGTTGGTTTTCCTGTTTGAATTGTTTTACACTAGTCATTTTGGGACCTTTTATAGCTTGTTGTTTGGTGCGAGTCAAGGCTCCGTGTTGAAGGCTGTACTTTCACCTATAATTGTTAACTTTCATATACATTGTGACTTGGATGGAGAGTTGTCTCATTGGGACTCATACCACATCTTCTTATTTATATTGTAGTACTTTGTTGTTACCATGACAGTGATTTAGTTCTGATCATTGGTGTATTAATTTACTGAGGCCATTTTATCCATAATCGTAGTTGAAAGTAATTAAACTAAGTATGTCTTGTCATGAAAAATTAATGAAGTTAAATTAAAACGATATCTGTACGATCAGCTAAGTCTTTGATTGGAAATGAAGATTTATTTTTTAATTTCATCATTAAATCAATATTTTGGTTTCAGTTGACAAACAATCGTGTTAGTAAGTCTTTTGAGAATACATGTTAATGAATGTGTTATTGGTTGGATTTTGAAGTCTATTGAACAAGTTGATATAAGAGCCTCATTCTGACTTCTAACGATGCTTACATCCACTACATATGGACTTTGGTGGAAACTTGTCTCATTGGCCATCATGCTCTATCTTTATATTATTAAAATTGCAAGGAGTTTAGGTCAATGCAGAAAAAGTTAGGTTTCAAGAAAGTGTAAATTCCCCTGAATGTCTAGATCTATGGAGATTGATTGTTCAATATCCAGTGGCGAATATTTTATTCAGATTGAAGTTGAGTACTAGATGAACAATACATTGATTAATTAAAAGACATAGGAAGGTTGAGTGATAAGGCATATTGCCTGCTACTGCAAGATGAACAATACATTGATTAATTAAAAGACATAGGAAGGTTGAGTGATAAGGCATATTGCCTGCTACTGTAAGATGAACAATACATTGATTAATTAAAAGATATAGGGAGGTTGAGTGATAAGGCATATTGCCTGCTACTGAAAGATGAACAATACATTGATTAATTAAAAGATATAGGGAGGTTGAGTGATAAGGCATATTGCCTGCTACTGAAAGATGAACAATACATTGATTAATTAAAAGATATAGGAAGGTTGAGTGATAAGGCATATTGCCTGCTACTGAAAGATGAACAATACATTGATTAATTAAAAGATATAGGGAGGTTGAGTGATAAGGCATTTTGCCTGCTACTGAAAGATGAACAATACATTGATTAATTAAAAGACATAGGAAGGTTGAGTGATAAGGCGTATTGCCTGCTACTGAAAGATGAACAATACATTGATTAATTAAAAGACATAGGAAGGTTGAGTGATAAGGCATATTGCCTGCTACTGTAAGATGAACAATACATTGATTAATTAAAAGACATAGGAAGGTTGAGTGATAAGGCATATTGCCTGCTACTGAAAGATGAACAATACATTGATTAATTAAAAGATATAGGGAGGTTGAGTGATAAGGCATATTGCCTGCTACTGAAAGATGAACAATACATTGATTAATTAAAAGATATAGGAAGGTTGAGTGATAAGGCATATTGCCTGCTACTGAAAGATGAACAATACATTGATTAATTAAAAGATATAGGAAGGTTGAGTGATAAGGCATATTGCCTGCTACTGAAAGATGAACAATACATTGATTAATTAAAAGATATAGGGAGGTTGAGTGATAAGGCATATTGCCTGCTACTGAAAGATGAACAATACATTGATTAATTAAAAGACATAGGAAGGTTGAGTGATAAGGCATATTGCCTGCTACTGAAAGATGAACAATACATTGATTAATTAAAAGATATAGGGAGGTTGAGTGATAAGGCATATTGCCTGCTACTGAAAGATGAACAATACATTGATTAATTAAAAGATATAGGGAGGTTGAGTGATAAGGCATATTGCCTGCTACTGAAAGATGAACAATACATTGATTAATTAAAAGACATGGTTGAGTGATAAGACAATATGCCTGCTACTGAAAGATGAAGGAAAGAAATTCTGCCTCACAACAGCACACATATGTATGACCCTTTGCAACAGGATACATATGTATGACCCTTCGCAACAGCACACATATGTATGACCCTTCGCAACAGGATACATATGTATGAACCCTTGTGAACACTTGTAGAAAGAGTTCTTTGATTTTCTGAGACAGTTGCACTTGGGTCATTAGATTTAAAACCCCAGTTGTGACCATGCAAATGTAATGATACTTGTATTAGGTAATTATAGCACATTTTTATATCTTGTTATAAAGAATGATGGATAATTATTGAAAACAATTATCTAACATAAAGATTCTCATTGATGTTTTTCATCAGAACACATTAGATTTTAATGGTTAATGTTGTCTTCTGAGAATAAGTGCCTTTGATGGTAAATATTTAGAATGTACATTTAAGGTGTTTATGAGACTATTGCATGTTTGTTTATTAAGTGTATTTACAAATTGAGGATGTTTGAAAGAGTTTTTATTGGAAAATGGCATGTTTGTTGATAAAGTGTGTTTAATTAAGTTTGTTAGGAAACAAATCAGCTGAAAATTATACAAATGTAATGTTTAAAAAAAGAATAACAAGTTTTAGTTCAAAATTATTTGATGGATGATGAAATAGGTCAAAACAATGAAATATTGTTAATACTTAGAAGAAAAGGCCAGCAACCATGTTTGTTTTTTTTTATTCTTGAATCTGAACTTCTCTCTTCACTTACAGAAATCTCAATCCTCCCTCATTACCTATAATATATATAACTTCATTTATATAAAATCTCCATCAGACTCACAAAATGAAATGATGTTCCATTGACTTAGAAAAAATGGTCTGCAAATGTTTTCCCAAATGCAAAATTTAAGATAAAAATTTGTTTTTTTTTAAATTATGTGTTAATTCAGTAAAAGAAAGAATATTGCTACAAATTTTATTGACCCAAACAAAACATTTTCTCAAAGTTTATTGATATCTAAATATTCTTTGATTTTTTTTAGTGATTTGATAAGGATAGAAGTGATTGAGTTACACCCTTCTATGAGAAGTCTGTTTATTTACAGATAACATTAAAGTTTGGTCATTAGTTAGTAACATTTACCCTTAAACACTCACTGATTTGTTTTTATACAAAGTTGTATATACAGATTTGTGACAAGGATGTATAAGTTATATTTGTGATTTATATTTATAGAAAGTCGTACACACAGTCGTTTGACGAGGAAATCAGAAAGATCTGACAGCAGGATCCAAGAGTAAGTCATTGGTTAAACTATTTTAACATATAAAATAATGACAACTTCTATACATCTACATTTTCTATTTACATCAAAATTCCCATACACAGTTCACAGTTGACAAGGACTTCTGACTAGGTCTAAAATTTGAGAAACATGTATTTGAAGATGTTTTGGCTGTCAATATTGTAATTGAATGTTTGGACAGAAGTAATAAAATTACTGAAGATCTTTGGACTATAGAGGTCTTCAATGTAGATCTGGGCTGTAGAGGCCTTCATCGTAGATAGTGTGACTGTAATTGCCTCTTAAAAAGACATTATGGTTATTCTCAACACAACTTTCGCAGTTTCAGAAATGTTGTCATTTGAATTTCTTATTGTTTATAGATATTAAAAATCTGAGAAATGGATGAAAATTAATTGATTTATTTTTCGCTTAGAAATTTATTTTTTTTTTTTTAGCTCTTCTTCAATTTATTAAATGATATGATAATTGGCTTTATTAATGTGTCATCAGTAGGGTTAAACTGCACTGTTAATTTGGTCATCAATAGAAAGGTTAAACTACTGTTAATGTGTCATCAGTAAGGTTAAACCGTACTGTTAATGTGGTCATCAGTAAGGTTAAACTACACTGTTAATGTGTCATCAGTAAGGTTTAACTGCACTGTTAATGTAGTTTAAACTGTACTGTTAATGTGTCATCAGTAAGGTTAATATGCACTGTTAATGTGTCACCAGTAAGGTTAAATTGTACTGTTAATGTGGTCATCAGTAAGGTTAAACTGCACTGTTAATGGTGTCATCAGTAAGGTAAAACTGTACTGTTAATGTGTCACTTGTAAGGTTAAACTGCACTATCTTATCATCAGTTATTGCTTACAAATATTTTCAAACAATTGAGTTGGCTTAATTTAGAAGTGAGAAATTGGTCAATAGTAATGGTCCCTGCTGATAAAAGGATCACAACAGATAGATACAAATGTAAAACACAGATATCATTTTTTTCTTCAAAATCTCAATGAATTAGAAATTCACTTTTGTTTTAAACAAGTTGTTGTTTTTATGAAATATTGATGGGAAACTTTTTGATGACAGATATGGATACATGCCTTGGAAACAGGGCAGACACAGTGGTCATTTTAGGCAGGTATCCCTTGTACAAAGGTGATTGCTTGGTAGCTTGTATATACCACTATAAAATCATGCTACTATTAACACATCATTGTATTTGCATTGTTGAGTATGATTAAATTATCAGTGCTGTATATTTCTGTATACATTTGGTTGACATATATAGTGTGTTAATTGAGAAATATTGCTTTATGTTTGTGCATGGTGTATGTAATGTTTGAATTGTGCCTTTGAATCCAACTCAATTAAAACATAAATACACAATTCTTACACAAGGTTACAATTCACATAATTACACCTTATATAAGTATCCTGGATTTTGATTGGTTGATAGCTAGGGTAATTTTCATGTATGATCCTTTATCAGATGAATTTGTTCATTTTTGGACACTGCTTGGTACAAGGATATATCATTTTTCTTACCCTCTCTGTCGTTGTATTTACCAAAACAGTTATACGCCCTTTTTACCTTCACATAGAGTGGGTCTCACTGGGGTCTATGCGTGACGCGGGATTGCCGATTTTTTGTAAGCGTGACAGGTGAAAGTCAAATTATTGTGCCGTGAAAACGGGAAATGAAGTCTAGCGGGACACGGAAAATTACAAAAAAATGAGAATTGCTTACGTACATAGTGTAAGCGGGATACGAGAATCTGACAAAACTGTAAGCGGGATCCGTGATCAGAACCCCCCAATGAGAACCCCCATAGACTGAATCATTTCTGTGCTGTATTGGATGTGGCTGTTATCCCTAATGTCTTGATAGCAAAAAATAATGGAATTAAATTTTGAATGTTTTACTTAATTATCTCTATTGATATTCGGTATAATAAAACAGATTTATCAGGAGGGGGATTTGTTAAAAAAAATACCAGTCTTTGGATGAAATTTCCTTCACTAAGCAACTAAGGACATTGGATATTCTCTCATTGGCTTTATATCTCACAAATATCTTTCCTGAACATGATATATTTTTTCAGTACATTGATTATATTAGGGATATCAATATACCTAAACCACCTCAGTGGTCTTGTGGTTAGTGTCCTTACCTCAAGTGTTGAAGGTAAATAGGGTTTACTTTCTGACTGGGTCAAACCAAAGACTTTGAAATTGGCATTTGCTTTTCTCTGCTAAGCATACAACATTTTAAAATGTAAGAATAAGTCTGGTCAACTAGGAGTCAGAAAAATATGTCTTGGCAGGGTCTTCTTGCTGGACCCTTCATTGTTGATTAATATTTTAAAGTTTGGCTGAGGTCCAGTACAAAGCAGGGTTCATGTTTCCTATTATATAAACATGTTTTTTGTTTAATATAAATGCAATATTTGCTGCTTGAGGTAAAGCATCCATCCATAGACCCTGTTTCAAACAGGACACTTGTAATATAAAAGGCCTCAGAACACAATTACACAAGATCCTATTTCTTGTTTGACATTTCTAATATATAGTGTGGTACTGCTAGTTGTACTATAACAATTGGCTAATAACTATATCAATGAACTTCAAAGTTATGTATGTAATGAATAGTGCTTCATTGTAAGAGGAAATAGAAAATTAATAGCCTGCCAGTTACCTAGGTTTACTTGGATTCTCTGTTTAAGGTCAAATTACAATACAGTCGCCTCTCGTTATTCCGAAGTCAACCGGACCAGGTAAATATTTCTAGATACCCGTAGTTCGACTCAAACAAAAAATCGAAGTTTGAAAGACCAAGGGACACAACTCTTGCTTGGCATGGTAAAGCTAAATTAAATCCTGATGAATATGGGTAGGGGATTGTTATTCTGGTCTCAGATCGGAGTATCTGTGTGTTATGGTCTTTTATAATTATATTAAAATTTTATGTTTTCGTCTCTTATTTATTTCTTTGTACAGTTACAATATTTTCTGTGTTTTTTAGCCAAGAGAGTAATTTCCTATCGATCTTCGCGTTATTTAATGTTGACAAAATTGTTCATTCTCGTATACAAGAGATTTTAGAAAACTTAGATTTCTTTTCATTTTCTTTTATTTCAATCTTTTTCGGCGAGAGAAAATACAAAAAGATTAAAGACGCCGATTGAGTAGTTTTGAGTTGATGCCCAACAGAAGTCTTAATCCCTACTTTATACACAACCAAGCTAATTAGTGTATGATTACAGTTAATTGTTTTCAAAATATTTTAAATAATTTTTCATAAACTATAATAATGCATCACTAATTATTTATCATGGATATCAAAGATAATCTTAGGTAAACACTTGTGGAAAAACATGTCATAAATCAATACAGTGGTCAGTGACTGGAAATATAATTACACGTGTATTGGCAGATTAACTCTTCAATCCATTTAAATCCCCGATGTCATGTTTTGACAAATGTGTATTAGTTCGAGATAAATAATGAATTTTGAATGCCTTTGTTAACCTAAGGACTGTAAATTTAGTTCGAGTCAACCGAAATTTCAACTCATCCAATTTCAACTCATCAGGAGTCGAAATACATGTATTTATATGGAACAATGTTCGGGACTACGAGAAAACTTTTGACTCACCCGAAATTTTGAGTCAACCGAGTTTGAGACAATGAGAGTTAACTGTAAATGGATGATGTCAGAGATTTTTACATATTTTTTTATACAGCAATGGCATTTTTAACTTGAACTAGAAATAAGAATTAATCCATCTAACTCTTATTTTCTTAAATATTATTCACTGAATTTTCTTTAAATTGCTGTATATTTGCATAGAATCAATCAAAATCAGGGAAAACAAAATCTTATGATTTGTCTTATAAATATAATATTGTCTAAGGCAATCCTATGTAATAGATTTTTGTTATTCTAAAATTAAGATATTTTTTGCTAGATAATTTCTGTTTAATTAATTGAAAATAATCATAGGGTTATCAACTAGATTTTTATATTGGCCAGTCTGATACTATGTTATATAGGTAACTTAACACATAATGTCAGCTGTGAGGACTAGTGGTCAAATCATTAACTTAAAAAAAACTTACCTAAGCTAGATATGTAATAAAAGAGAATTGTGAAGGTTCATGAGAACAGTTGACTGAGTTTGTTCCTATGTTAATTATATACGAATAAGGAGATGTGGTATGATAAGACAATTTATGTGCACTTTAACTGCTTTCATAATGTTCAATCACATAAAGCTAATATGAAATAACAACAAGAAGGAGACTTTTGGGTTTCCATATGTAATTTGGAAATATTTTTAATCCTGGGGAACACTGTTTTGTATTTTTATACGACCGCAAAAAAATTTTGTGGTCGTATATTGGTATGACGTTGGCGTCGTCGTCGTCGTCGTCGTCGGCGTCGGCGTCGTCGTCGTCGTCGTCCGGCGTCGTCGTCCGAATACACATTGGTTTTCGCACTCTAACTTTAGTTTAAGTGAATGGATCTTTTTGAAATTTGACCATAAGATTAAATACCACAAAAGGAAGGTTGGGATTGATTTTGGGGGTTATGGTACCAACAGTTAAGGTATTAGGGGCCAAAAATAAGCATTTTCTAATTTCCAGACAATAACTGTGGAACCGTGTATGGATCTCTCTGAAATTATACTACAAGTTTCCATACCACAAAGGGATGGTTAGGATTTGCTTTGGGGGGTTATGGCTCAAACCGTTTAGGAATTAGGGGCAAAAAAGGGGGAAAAACAAGGTTGTCCTGGTTAATGGACAAATACTTTAGTACAAAACATAATTTAAAGCAGTGTAAGGGAGATAAATCAAATACATCATTGAAATTATCTCCCTTACACTGCTTTTAGATTATGTATAAAAGTAATGGTTAATGAACAATAAAGATAATTTAAAACAGTGTAAGGGAGGTAATCCAAATACAACGTTTTGGTTACTTCCCTTACACTGCTTTTAAATTATGTTTAAAGAAATGCATATTTATAAAGGAAGACCAGTAAAAATATCTGCAAATGTTGCATCATTTTTTTTTACAAAAAAATCCATATGAAAGATTTGACACTATATTTTTAATTCTATTATAAAATAGATTAAGATAGCACTATGGTAAATTTAAATGGGTAATTATGGTTGCCAACTCCATTGGAAATTTGAATTGAGGTTATGACCATAACTTGAGGGAAAGAAATTTTTGGGGGAAAAAAGGGGGGGGGGGATAAAAAGAAATTGTGGGGGGTCAATTTTTTCTCATTTCAGATTTCAGAAATTAAAAAGAATTCTTCAAATATTTTTTTTTTTTCAAATTTCAAATATTGAAAAATTTCAAGAAGTAATCTTTAATTGCACAGTATGGCACATTAGATTTGTAAAATCTTTGATCACATTTATTTATTTGTTATGCCGAATCTAACAGTGTATTTAGATTTTTAATTTTGGGTCCAGTTTTCAAATTGGTCTACATTAAGGTCCAAAGGGTCCAAAATTAAACTTTGTTTGATTTTAGCAAAAATTGAATATATGAGGTTCTTTGATATGCTGAATCTAAACATGTATTTAGATTTTTGATTTTTGGCCCAGTTTTCAAGTTAGTCCAAATTGGGGTCCAAAATTAAACTTTGTTTGATTTCAACAAAAATTGAATATATGGGGTTCTTTGATATGCTGAATCTAACCATGTATTTAGATTTTTTATTTGTGGACCCCGCTATCAAATTGGTTCATATTGAGGTCAAAAGGGTCCAAAATTAAACTTTGATTGATTTCATCTAAAATTGAATTATTGGGGTTCTTTGATATTCCAAATCTAACCGTGTATTTAGATTTTTAATTTTGGGTCCTGTTTTTTGAATTGGTCTACATTAAGGTCCAAAGGGTCCAAAATTAAACTTAGTTTGATTTTAACAAAAATTGAATTCTTGGGGTTCTTTGATATGCTGAATCTAAACATGTATTTAGATTTTTGATTTTTGGCCCAGTTTTCAAGTTTGTCCAAATTGGGGTCCAAAATTAAACTTTGTTTGATTTCAACAAAAATTGAATATATGGGGTTCTTTGATATGCTGAATCTAACCATGTATTTAGATTTTTTATTTGTGGACCCCGTTATCAAATTGGTTCATATTGAGGTCAAAAGGGTCCAAAATTAAACTTTGTTTGATTTCATCTAAAATTGAATTATTGGGGTTCTTTGATATGCTGAATCTAAACATGTATTTAGATTTTTGATTATGGGCCCAGTTTTCAAGTTGGTCCAAGTTGGGGTCCAAAATTAAACTTTGTTTGATTTCAACAAAAATTGAATATATGTGGTTCTTTGATATGCTGAATCTAACCATGTATTTAGATTTTTTATTTGTGGGCCCCGCTATCAAATTGGTTCATATTGAGGTCAAAAAGGTCCAAAATTAAACTTTGTTTGATTTCATCAAAAATTGAATTATTGGGGTTCTTTGATATGCCAAATCTAACCGTGTTTTTAGATTTTTAATTTGGGTCCCGTTTTTTAAATTGGTCTTCATTGAGGTCCATAGGGTCCAAAATTAAACTTAGTTTGATTTTAACAAAATATTGAATTCTTGGGGTTCTTTGATATGCTGAATCTAAACATGTGTTTAGAATTTTGATTATGGGCCCAGTTTTCAAGTTGGTCCAAGTTGGGGTCCAAAATTAAACTTTTTTTGATTTCAACAAAAATTGAATATATTGGGTTCTTTGATATGCTGAATCTAACCATGAATTTAGATTTTTTATTTGTGGGCCCCGCTATCAAATTGGTTCATATTGAGGTCAAAAGGGTCCAAAATTAAACTTTGTTTGATTTCATCAAAAATTGAATTATTGGGGTTCTTTGATATTCCAAATCTAATCGTGTATTTAGATTTTTAATATTAAGTCCCGTTTTTTAAATTGGTCTACATTAAGGTCCAAAGGGTCCAAAATTAAACTTAGTTTGATTTTAGCAAAAATTGAATTCTTGGGGTTCTTTGATATGCTGAATCTAAACATGTGTTTAGATTTTTGATTATGGGCCCAGTTTTCAAGTTTGTCCAAGTTGGGGTCCAAAATTAAACTTTGTTTGATTTTAACAAAAATTGAATATATGGGGTTCTTTGATATGCTGAATCTAACCATGTATTTTGATTTGAGACATTGGACCATAATAGGTGAATTAAAAAAATTCAAGTTCTTAGACCACATTCTTTCTGTGTCAGAAACCTGTGCTGTGTCAAATATTTAATAACAATCCAAATTCAGAGCTGTATCAAGCTTGAATGTTGTGTCCATACTTGCCCCAACTGTTCAGGGTTCGACCTCTGCGGTCGTATCAAGCTGCGCCCCAGCGAAGCATTTTATTATTTATTTTTACCACTGTTTTGTATTTTTATTTATTTTTACCACTGTTTTGTGCTTTTATTTATGGGGATCATTATTTTGTATTTTTATTTATTTTTACCACTGTTTTGTATTTTTATTTTTTTTTTACCACTGTTTTGTGCTTTTTATTTATGGGGATCATTATTTTGTGTTTTAATTCATGGTGGGACTATTGTTTTGTGTTTATTTGTTGAATAACAGTTTTGTGAGTTTTGAATTATATGTGTGATTAATTTAAAAAATAACATTACACAATAAATACTTTTTTGACTTAAATCCACAAAGACAACTTTTACTAAAAGGTGTTAATTCAGCTTATCTTTCTATTATTAATTTCAAATTTATTGTTAAAGACCAACAAATTACAAAAAAATATCATAATCCCTAATTACTCTCAGATATTAAACTAAAATCTAATCTTGACATGTTTGCAAAAAGTTTAACAACTGTTACACATAATTCTAACAACTAATTCTTAAAAAACACACTCTGATCTAATATATAGGCTGTGACTTTATATCCTTTGACTGTCTCAATATAAGTTTTTAAAGAATATTTGAACTTGAAAATTTTTACAGGCTACTTCCAGAAGATGAACTAGATGATTATGTGACAGAGAAACAAGAGGCTGAAGAAGTTTATTCCCAGACGGGCATTGTAACAACTACTCCTGTAGAACAGGTAATGAAGTATAGATTATCTCCCCCTGGTAAATGGTTTTATTCTCAGACAGGCATTGTAACAACTACTCCTGTAGAACAGGTAATGAAGTATAGATTATCTCCCCCTGGTAAAGGGTTTTATTCTCAGACAGGCATTGTAACAACTACTCCTGTAGAACAGGAAATGAAGTATAGATTATCTCCCCCTGGTAAAGGGTTTTATTCTCAGACAGGCATTGTAACAACTACTCCTGTAGAACAGGTAATGCAGTATAGATTATCTCCCCTGGTAAAGGGTTTTATTCTTAGACAGGCATTGTAACAACTACTCCTGTAGAACAGGTAATGAGGTATAGACTATCTCCCCTGGTAAAGGGTTTTATTCCCAGACAGGCATTGTAACAACTATTGTAGAGCATGTAATGCAGTATAGATTATCTCCCCCTGGTAAAGAATTTTATTCTCAGACAGGCATTGTAACAACTCCTGTAGAACAGGTAATGGAGTATAGATTATCTCCCCCTGGTAAAGGGTTTTATTCTCAGACAGGCATTGTAACAACTACCCCTGTAGAACAGGTAATGAAGTATAGATTATCTCCCCCTGGTAAAGGGTTTTATTCTCAGACAGGCATTGTAACAACTACTCCTGTAGAACAGGTAATGCAGTATAGATTATCTCCCCTGGTAAAGGGTTTTATTCTTAGACAGGCATTGTAACAACTACTCCTGTAGAACAGGTAATGAAGTATAGACTATCTCCCCTGGTAAAGGGTTTTATTCCCAGACAGGCATTGTAACAACTATTGTAGAGCATGTAATGCAGTATAGATTATCTCCCCCTGGTAAAGAATTTTATTCTCAGACAGGCATTGTAACAACTCCTGTAGAACAGGTAATGAAGTATAGACTATCTCCCCTGGTAAAGGGTTTTATTCCCAGACAGGCATTGTAACAACTATTGTAGAGCATGTAATGAAGTATAGATTATCTCCCCCTGGTAAAGGGTTTTATTCTCAGACAGGCATTGTAACAACTACTCCTGTAGAGCATGTAATGCAGTATAGATTATCTCCCCCTGGTAAAGAATTTTATTCTCAGACAGGCATTGTAACAACTCCTGTAGAACAGGTAATGAAGTATATATTACCTCCCCCTGGTAAAGGGTTTTATTCACAGACAGGGGTTGTAACAACTACTCCCGTAGAACAGGTAATGAAGTATAGATTATCTCCCCCTGGTAAAGAATTTTATTCACAGACAGGCATTGTAACAACTACTCCCGTAGAACATGTAAGTATAGATATCCCCCTAATAATATTAGTTATCTTGGTGTAATTGGGTGTGTACAGAATTTTACCTTTGTCGCACACACCTCTTGCTGAATGCCATTTTACATCTTTATTTTAAGGTGAAATTTCTGAAAGCCCTGAAAAAATGTATCTTCAGAATTTTATCAGAATGCACCATATTGCATCCTAAATGTCAAAATACTAAGTTCTTTAATTTTGGCACCTTTGTCGCACACATCTCTCTCCTTTTCAGTTTCTAACCTGTAACTTTAAAAACTTGTTGAAATCCCTGCCCTGTAAAACCACTTGTACAATACTAGATAACTTTGAATGACATATATATCAAATGGTGATTTTCAGGTTGACCAATGTTTGGTCACATGAGTTTGTAGTAAATACCATTGTTGAAAGAAAGTATTCTAACTAACATGTTTGCTATGCCATAAGTTAATAAGATAATTTCAGAGACATTTTCACTATTAGTTTATCAGTTTTGTCTGACAAAACATTGTAAACAACTTTGGAATAAATTGGACATAAATTGAATGAATGCCAATGACCAAGTTGTATGTAGAAATTGCTTTGACCTATAGAAATATTAAAGGTTGAGGTCACAACCAGTAAATATGTATGAATATGCATCTCTAGCCTTATTTTTGTATTGGGGTCTTAGATACAAGTAATAGTTCACACAATTTAAATCCATGACCCAAAGTTGTGTCATGACCTTAAGCAAGGTCATTGCCTGTAAAGTAAATCATGTACAAACAACACTATATTTGAATTCAAAATCTGCATTCACCAGTTCTTCAGCTTAAGAGTATTTGTCCTAATTAGAAGACAGTTCCAATTTAAATAAGGAATGTACAATAACGCAATAAATGTATTTTCACCTTTCAACATTTAATTTATTACAATTTATTTTAGGACAAACCAGCAGATGAGGAAGTAGAATTACAAGAAAAGGATGTGGAATTAGTGGAAACTGTAGAGAAGCAATCAGGATCTGAAGAGAAGCAAACAGAAACTGTAGAGAAGCAAACAGAAACTGAAGAGAAGCAATCAGAATCTGAAGAAACCACACAGAATGTAACTGACCAACCACCTCACATTATACAACCGGTCCATTTCTCACAGGATTTACATAATGGTGATGTTCATTTAGAAGTTTTGGCTATTCCATCTGGGGGTAGAGTACCTACACCTCATCAAGAAAAACATGGAACAATCCAAGAATTGTCAGCATCAGAAAGTTGGAATTTTTCCCCTGATGGAGACATAGTTGATGTTAAAGAAAAAAAGAAAGCATATTCTAGATTATCCCATCGTGACGGTCATTGGTTTAAGGAAATTGTAAAACCAGAAAATTATTGTTTTGAGTGTATACCTGATAGTATGTCGACCAAAGTGGGTCGCCAAGCTGGCAGGATGCCAAATGGAACACAAAGTGCTTCTTCACAGGTGCTACGTATGTCTAGGAAACAGACAGAATATTTTAAACATGCTCCACCCCTCAGGACTCCTCCTTCAATTCCCAGTGCTTCACATCGACAGTCACAGTTTATAGACCAATCACCCCGGTACGGACAAACATATAGCTCAGAATTAGAACACCATGCAAGGTCCACCAAAAGTCCAAGGCATTATATGGAGCAAGGTAATATTTATTATTAGAACGTCGTGCAAGGTCCACCAAAAGTTGCAGTTACTAATCCGCTTTTGTTTCAATAATTGCAATAATAAATGCATGCAAAAAATTTTGAATTGACTGTATTCAGACTTATATTTAATACATATGAGAACTCAACACATCAGCATCTACATAAAAGTCACTAATAATTCTTATGGATTGTTATGAAAAGATAGTTAAGGTATGAAAAATAGGATATATGTCTTAAAAGTTTACAACAAACACAAAAGTAAAAGAGAACCGAAAGATACCAAAGAGATATTCAAACTCATAAGTTGAAAACAAACTGAAAATGCAATGGCAAAAAAACGAATAACAACAAAAAGACAAACAACATTATACAAAACACAACAAAGAAAACTAAAGACTGAACAACACAAACACCACCAAAAACTGGGGGTGATCTGGAAGGGTAAGCAGATCCTGCTTCACATGTGGCATCGGTCATGTAGCTCATGTAAGTACAAACCTGGTGATAGGTCTAATTTGGTAGGTTACATTGGAAGAAAAGCGGAATGGATTGTGGTTACAACAATTGGAACATATCTGTCGTCATCTGTGAAACAGATATTCCATAACGATCAACCGACTTGTGATGGCGTCAAATAAGTGACAAATACATAGTCAAAACAAAATTAATGGAATATTTTGGATAACATCTTAATTGATTATAAAATAATGTGACTAAAGCATTGCATATTAGGTTAAATTAAACTATTTTGAAATCCTGAATGTCAAACAGATTGAATATTACCAAAGCAATACATTTTCTTATTTTGAAATCTTGAACTGTATACAAATAAAAAAAAAACAGTGAAATATATGCACAAATAAACAATTTATAAAATGACTGTTCCCACTCTCCTTTAACTTAACATTAGATTTCTAACATTAGATTTCTAACATTAGATTTCTAACATTAGATTTCTGTTTCAGTGGTTGATTTAAGGACAAATGGTATAAGATCTGCTCCTCCCGGGAGTCATTCAGGGTTAGATGGCCCATTGTCATCATCACTGCATGTATCAAGTTTGTCGTCCAGACAGAATACAATGATTGGTGAGTAAATTGAATTCATTTATAGCCCACCAGGCCCAGAGGGTGTCTAAGAACGGAATTCCTCAATTGCTCCCTTAGGAGTTTTTGCCCTTGAAAGATAATTTTTTACCAATTTTTTTAGTTTTCCCAGAAACTATGATGGATATAGTGAAACTGCAAACAGCAAAAATGTTCAGAAAAGAGCTACAAATACGTAAACTTTGACCGAAAATGTCAATTGAATCCTTAAAGGAGTTATTGCCCTTGAAAGATGATTATTACCATTTTTTTTTAGTTTTTTGCAGAAACTATGATATAGATAGAGAGAATCTTTTCAAGGCATGTTAAAACACGCATTAATATACATTAAACAGCAAAACAATCATTGATGTAAGATCTACACAAAAAATTCCAGATGAGCAATTCAGGCTCTCCAGAGTGTCTTTTTACTTGCTCTCCTGCTTAGTTTTAACATTTTTTATTGTCTAAATAAATAAAAGGATTGGATATTAGTTATAACAAATTAACATAATCCTCTCCAAATAATTACAATATACAAAAATTCAAGATGACAGCATTTATATATATACAATAACAGTCTATAGAAATAATTTTCTTGTGAAATGTGTAGAAAAATTGTCTAAAGAAATATGCAGAAAATATGTTGCTAGGGCAACTAAATCATTTGAAACAAAATATGACAGAAAGGTTCCTTTTTGATGTCCTTACAGAGGCCTTTTACTTTTTGACTCTTGCCATCTGATAGGGCGCTACCAGCTTAGGTAATTTTTATGTCCTTACAGAGGCATTTTACTTTTTGGCTCTTGCCATCTGATAGGGCGCTACCAGCTTAGGTAATTTTTATGTCCTTACAGAGGCATTTTACTTTTTGACTCTTGCCATCTGATAGGGCGCTACCAGCTTAGGTAATTTTTATGTCCTTACAGAGGCATTTTACTTCTGTTCTCATTGGCCATCTGGTAAATGTCTGTCAGCTTAGATTATGTTGGCCCTCATGTGAGATCTTTTATAATTATCTGTGCTCATATAAGTTTGGTGATATTAATTTGATCTGTAGGAGTTGTATACTTGCAATATGAGAAGATTCCACAACAACTATCTCATATGGCAAATGTGTGTTTTTAATTGGAAAGTTTAAAAAATATTAATGTTTATTTAACAGTATCATTTAGACCTGGAATAAAAAATGTTTTGCTAATCTCATGTCTTTTATTTTACAGAAACATCAAGAAGTGGTATTGAACATGAGAAAACAATATACCCCAACACGGCACACATAGAAATAGCAGCAGATGGCTCTAGACATGTTGTCTTTAATGATGGTACTAGATTTGTTTTTTTATATTCCCTTATAACGATTTTTCCAAAACAATAAAACATTTTTTTCTACTTCTAAAGAGATTGTTACAATTATCATGATTATGTTTTTTACGATTTTAAACCAGTCATTTTCTTCAGGAAAAAAAATCAAAGTTTTCTTAATTTGTAGAAAAAGAACCAAGAACGAGAAAAAGACTTTCCCGTTCAAAAAAATTTCATAGTTCTTTCTATTTCATAATTTTCTATTTTTATTTACAAAACAAAACATATGTATGGTCAATACTGTTTTGTTTTTAAATAAAAGATATCAGAAATTGTCATGTTTTACACAGTAAATAATGAAAAATAATATTACACTAAATTACAATCAAAGTTGATGTAAAATGTATATGAAGAAGTTCAAATTTGAAATGTGATTTGAAGAATAAGTTAAAATAATCTTATTGAAATTACAATGTGAAACTAGTCACACTTATATAGTTGAAATAGATAAAGCAAAGCTTACAGAAATACACAGCAAATTATATAAAAACTTTTAAGAAAATACAACAAATTATAAATTTTTTTTTTTTTTTTTTAAATAATGTACATGTATAATGAAACCAATGCAATGAATATTTGATATTGTTACAGAGAGATTAGAATCTGTGGCAGAATCTGGAATGGCCAATGGAAATGGTGAGGAAGCTCAAGACAGGTTTAAATCAGCAACGACACAGAAGTCCCGAAGATCTAACCAATCAATAGCTCGTGTTGGCAGACCTATAGCTCATTATTATAACATTAAAGATCCTGTAAGTATTAGGTTAAAGGTCACTTGCTGAGAAATCTATCTCATCATCAAAGATCTGACCAGTTTGACATTAAAAGTCACGTAGGAATCAATTCTAATCAATGCAGATATGTTCTGTTTCAAAGGATGTAAAAATATAAAATTTTAAGCATATTATTAGGGAAAAACTATTATCTTTGTTTTAGTATCAATTAAGTCCCAGATAGGTACTAAAATTACATTATACTAAAAGGACTGTTCTAGATTGACGTTCATTTTGATAGATATAAGAAGATGTGGTATGAGTGCCAATGAGACAACTCTCCATCCAAGTCACAATTTATAAAATTAAACCATTATAGGTCAAAGTACGGCCTTCAACATGGAGCCTTGGCTCACACCGAACAGCAAGCTATAAAGGGCCCCAAAAAATACTCTGTTTGCCAAAGAAATATTACTGTGGATTCATTTAATTTCATCGATTGCCAAAAAATTGTATTTTCATGGACATTTTATTTCATGGTTTAATCAAAGTCTGCATACAAAGCCTATAGAAAACTTGTACTTTGTTGAACATTTAAATTCGTAGTTCACCTTTACCCACTAAAACCACGAAAATTGGTATCCAACGAATAATACTGAATAGTAAAGAATTGAATTAATGAAAATGATGGCTATATCATATAAAACATGACCTTGGTTATGACCTTGTTTATAAACTTCTGACAATATTTATTATCTTTACAGTATGAAACAGCAGCAGCTTTCAAACTTCAGAAAGAGGCAGAAGCAGCTGTGGACATTCAGAGGTATGGTAGTGTTTTAGTTAATGTATTAATACAGCTCGATGGCTCATAAAAGATTTGTGAGAGGAAGGAAGCCTTATTGATATTATATAAAAAAAAAATAAAAAAAATTATTGAAAAACTAAGAAATAGACACCAAGTGACATCAATGGCTCAAATTTGCCCTTCTGTCAAGGTTTTCTATATCTTAAACAGATCACCATGGTTAATAAAAAAAAATCCAATCTGCAATAAAAAATCACCTTTGTAAATTTTGTTCATTGTATCTATCATCTATTAACCATTTCCAATGTTTTCTCTAAAATAACTAGGGCAACTTAAACCCATTAGTTTCAAAATGGTTTGCCTTTCCAGCTGACCTTCTTACATAACCATTCTTTCAAAACTTTACACATTGAAACAAAATGGCAATCTTAAAGGCATATTCCTCTATTTCAGGGGAGATACTAACTAGAACATTATTCTTTACTACCAGATTGGTATCTTTAAGGTACAAATATATTTGATTACAGTAAGGATATTTTTATTTAACGTAAGGATATCTTTATTTAATGTGAAAATGTTTTTGATTATCACATATTTGTTACGAAAACATTGCATTTTGCATATGTAATAACTGCAAAATTGTCATACTCATATTGCTGCCCGTGGCAAAAAAATGGTTATTGGTTATTGTGCCCCGATTCCAAATGATGTGACATCATTGCGTCCTTAACGACAATGGTGAACAATGACGGTGTTTGTATTGAAAATTATGAGAATTATGCTTCAATGGCCACTAGTAACAATGTTCAACCAACTATTATCGATTTAGCCCCAGTTATGCCAAATTATCGCTTTTGTGTATTACCATATTCAAAAATAAGGGGAAATGTTACAATAAATTTGTATGCAGTAAATGGAAAAAAATAATGGAAAATGTGATAAATCTTTTTAGAATTTACCTGTTGTGGTTAATTAAATAGTTATAATTGAACGTGTTTCTCTTGTCTGCAGAACTTAAGTATGTGATAAATAGATTATAACATGTCTTTTCCATATTGGCCCTGGTATCATCCCTCGACCCATATCGACCCTCGGCTAAAGCCTCGGGCTGATATGGGAGTTTCAGGATGATACCAGGGCCAATATGGAAAAGGGCATGTTATAATCTATAATTACAGTAAGGATATTTTTATTTAATGTAAGGATATCTTTATTTAATGTAAAAATATATTTGATTACAGTAAGGATATTTTTATTTAATGTAAGGATATCTTTATTTAATGTAAAAATATATTTGATTACAGTAAGGATATTTTTATTTAACGTAAGGATATCTTTATTTAATGTAAAAATATATTTGATTACAGTAAGGATATTTTTATTTAACGTAAGGATGTCTTTATTTAATGTAAAAATATATTTGATTACAGTAAGGATATTTTTATTTAACGTAAGGATATCTTTATTTAATGTAAAAATATATTTGATTACAGTAAGGATATTTTTATTTAACGTAAGGATATCTTTATTTATTGTAAAAATATATTTGATTACAGTAAGGATATTTTTATTTAACATAAGGATATCTTTATTTAATGTAAAAATATATTTGATTACAGTAAGGATATTTTTATTTACAATGGTAGTTTATCTAATTGATATAAAAATTTCTTTTATATTAGACAACAATTTCTTTATTTATTAACTGTAATGATATTTTTATTTACCTGAATGATATTTTTATTCCCCACCTATGGGCATTATGTTTTTTGGTCTGTGCGTCCGTTCTGCCTTCTGTTCATCTGTCCGTCTGGCAGTCTGTCCTGCTTCAGCTTAAAGTTTTTGGTCAAGGTAGTTTTTGATGAAGTTGAAGTCAAATCAACTTGAAACTTAGTACACATGTTCCCAATGATATGATCTTTCTAATTTTAAAATTAAATTAAATTGCTAAATTAGAGGTTTAGCCCCAATTTCACGGTCCACTGAACTCAGAAAATGATAGTGCGAGTGGGGCATCCGTGAACTATGGACACATTCTTGTAAACTACTGTACTACCATGGATATGCCAGTTTACCACAATTATATTTTTTATTTACCATGGTGATGTCATTATTTACAATTGTAGTTTCTCCATTTGTTGTAGTGATATAGTAATGTACTTATTTACTATGTAGATATCTTTATTTATATCCACAGAATATTCAGAGGTTATGTAGCAAGAAATATGTACAAAAAATTAATAAAAGAAGAACGAGAGACAATGGAAGACAAGAGAAAGGCCGCTATAGAAATACAGAGGTAATTAAAATAGAAGTTCTATGGGTTAAAAAAAAGTCTTTTATAAAATCCAATGAATCATGGACCTTTATAAAGCCAGTATCTTATTATTTCCCCCTCTGACCTGGAAATGAGACATGTTTAGCATATCTCAAAGTCTTGTTTTAACTTCTCTGGTAATTATGATATTAGATATAAAAATGACAACACTATGACACTGATGATGATGGCAAAGACGACAACGATGAGGAGGAGACAAACCATTTATTTATTTCATTAAAAGTTTGATTCATTTGAATATTGATTGTTGGAGTTTAAAGTCATTTTCAGCACACTTGGTTATGGCCACTAGTTTTTATTGGTGTAGAGAACCATATATATAAGTTGACACTTATGTTTTTATTGTAGAGAAATATATATATAAGTTGACACCTTTGTTTTTATTGGTGTAGAGAACCATATATATAAGTTGACACTTATGTTTATATTGGTGTAGAGAACCATATATATAAGTTGACACCTATGTTTTTATTGGTGTAGAGAACCATATATATAAGTTGACACCTATGTTTTTATTGGTGTAGAGAACCATATATATAAGTTGACACCTATGTTTTTATTGGTGTAGAGAACCATAAATATAAGTTGACACCTATGTTTTTATCATGTTTCAGAGTATACAGAGGACATTTGATACGCAAAACAAAGATACTCAACCGGCCACCTGTATCAAATGAATCATTAGAATGGGCAAGGGAGCTCAAAATTGTCCAAGCAGAAAAAGCTCAAAAACGACAAAACAAAATGGAGGCACTATCCAATTTGTAAGTTATCTTTTGTAAAAGTGTAGTTTATATTAGAGTTGCCATCTTCATATTCTTAATTAGGAAAAATTAAAGTTCAATGGAAAATAAGAAAGGTCCATTATAAATAGTTTATATTAAAGTTGCTGATATTAACTCAAAATATTATTTTTAAATGCCGAACTTATTGGAAATATTCTATGTGTATCAATCTGTGGTTTAAGAAGAAGTTGGTATTTTGAGGATAATACATAATTTTTTTGTTGATTGAGAGAAAGAAAAATGCACATTACTGTATTTTAATAATTTCAGTATTGTTTTAGCAGGCAAATATTTTTACATCATTGTATGTAGATTATTTTGATTTTTTGTTGATTTGAAAGCTGATTTTTGCACTTTACTTTACTATCCTTTAATTCTGATGTCAGAAAAACTATTTCCACAAAACTGTGATTATTTTTAATATTTTTATTTGACAGGGCTGACAGTTCCTATAGTAAAACATCTGCAATAATTAAATATGCTTAAATGTTTTAACAATATGTAAAATGTCTAAGATAGTTAATGCTCTGACAGAATGCTGTAAATAATTTAAACAAGACTTTGCTGTACATTTAATCATTTTAATATTCTCAACTCTTTGTGTTTTTCATGGCAGACCATGCATTTAGTGTTGGTATATATAAATTTACCCTTGTCTCTTCGTTCATTTGTCCATATATATAAATGTCCAAGTTTTCTCAGGACGTATATTTGAATCAATTTTCAGCAATCTTTAGTTATATATCAATGAAATATTACTAATACAGTCCATTTGTTTAGTATTACATGGTTTTGCAATTTTCAGGTCACCGTGACCTACATTTTATGTTGCAGTAACTAGGATCAATTTTATATGTAGACTTAAAGCCTAATGCAATATTTCATTAATGTTAAACCATCCAAATTTTCATGATAAATACAATTCATTCAGCATCATTTAGGTTGCTGTGGCCGAATTGTTTTTAAGTTTTAAAGGAGCCTCTTTATCTTACTGGGTCATCATCTTATTTCTTTAAAAATAGCTGTTTCTTATAACATAACTAAAAAAACATTGAGATAGCAACTGTAGTAATAATACCCAGTAATAAGTAAAAACAATAATTATAATTAAATTTCTAGGCAAATTACAAATCTGTGTATAATTAATGCTTGATGTCTTGTCATGTAGCATGGGGAATTGTTGTGTGATTTTAACTTTTTACTACTTACATTATCAACTTAGAGTTAATAACTCATGTTAAAATTTTAATAAAGATCTTATTTCATTAGCACCTAATGTTAAGATTTTGAAAGTGAATGGCTTGTCCAAGTGCAGAAGATTATGTAGAGAATAAGCAAATAAAATAATGATTTTTGTAATATTTCAACTCTGTAGTCATTTTATTGAAGTGAACATTATTTGGTCAATGGAACTTACATCCCGTGCTTGAAACTCTTAAAAGTCTTTCATATAGTACACAATGTCAACACTAGTGTTAAGGTTAGAATCTCAACCTTTAGGTCAAGGTAACACAACATTAGTAGTTCAACTTTACTGACCTTTGACCTGTGATGTTTTAATCTGTTTTTCTATTTTGAAGTACAGTGATTAACTAGAGGTGTCTGATTTGTTGATTGACTGATTAGATAAGCAGAGTAATATTGTGTCAAATCTATCAGTTACCTTATTTCTCCTGAATTTAAAGATAAATATATACAATAAAAAATACTGTTGTAGTTGGTATATTGTTAATTTCCTAACACTTCAGGGAATATCTGTCTTCTGTGACCAACTGTCAAGGTATATTGTTAATTTCCTAACACTTCAGGGAATATCTGTCTTCTGTGACCAACTGTCAAGGTATATTGTTAATTTCTTAACACTTCAGGGAATATCTGTCTTCTGTGACCAACTGTCAAGGTATATTGTTAATTTCCTAACACTTCAGGGAATATCTGTCTTCTGTGACCAATTGTCAAAGTATATTGTTAATTTCCTAACACTTCAGGGAATATCTGTCTTCTGTGACCAACTGTCAAAGTATATTGTTAATTTCTTAACACTTCAGCGAATATCTGTCTTCTGTGACCAACTGTCAAAGTATATTGTTAATTTCCTAACACTTCAGGGAATATCTGTCTTCTGTGACCAACTGTCAAGGTATATTGTTAATTTCCTAACACTTCAGGATATATCTGTCTTCTGTGACCAACTGTCAAAGTATATTGTTAATTTCCTAACACTTACAGGAATATCTGTCTTCTGTGACCAACTGTCAAGGTATATTGTTAATTTCCTAACACTTCAGGATATATCTGTCTTCTGTGACCAACTGTCAAAGTATATTGTTAATTTCCTAACACTTCAGGATATATCTGTCTTCTGTGACCAACTGTCAAGGTATATTGTTAATTTCCTAACACTTCAGGATATATCTGTCTTCTGTGACCAACTGTCAAGGTATATTGTTAATTTCCTAACACTTCAGGATATATCTGTCTTCTGTGACCAACTGTCAAGGTATATTGTTAATTTCCTAACAATTCAGAGAATATTTGTCTTATGTGACCATTCTTTGACAGTTGTTTCTAAAGACACTTTTTATATTACTGCATATATTTTTTAACTTGTGGTTCCAATAGCATCTCTTACTATGTCATTTTTCATTCATCTTTAAGGCAACTCTTGGTACAGATTTCATTTTATTTGACATGAACGAATGAAAATGAAAAATGTTGTTATTTTTAATTTAGTGTAGAAAATCTCTGAAATGAGTGAATATTTGTGAATAACATAGCTGGCTTTAACTGCTGCATTAACATATCACTAATAATACTTATATAGAAATACCCTGAATCATCAATCAAGTTCCTCCAAGCTGTCAACCATTGGACCTCACGTCGAGATATACCAGTAAGTACTATTTATCTTATTTACTTATATCTGTATGTATAAAATGAGATTTTTTTTTTGGATATGGCAATGAGACAACAACCTAACAACACAACACAAACAAAAAAAGACATCATGAGGTTGCCAAATGATCTTCAACAATAGACTAGTGTGTATAAACAATATGCAAAGCTCTAATAATATAAACGGTACCAATTTTATTGCACCAGATGCTCATTTCGACAATTAATATCTCTTCAGTGAAGCCTGATGCCAAAATATTTAAATCCAAAATCTAATACAAACGTTGAAGAGCTGATCAACCAAAAAAACCTAAAGTAAGGCCAAAATCGGACAAGGAATCAGAGCTTTGCATGAGGGAGATATATTCCTTAATTTGAATTGATTTCCAAAATTTTATAACAGTAGATTTCAATCAACACTATATCTGTAATTTCATGCCAGTACCAAAGTACTGGCTACTGGGTTGGTGATACCCTCGGGTACTAACAGTCCACCAGCAGAGGCAGAGGCCCAGTGGTAGTAATAATATAAACGGTACCAATTTTATTGCACCAGATGCACATTTCGACAATTCATAGATATAAGAAGATGTGGTATGAGTTCCAATGAGACAACTCTCCATCCAAGTCAAAATTTATAAAAGTAAACCATTATAGGTCAGAGTACAGTCTTCAACACGAAGCCTTGGCTCACACCGAACAGTAAGCTATAAAGGGCCCCAAAAATTACTTGTGTAAAACCATTGAAACGGGAAAACCAACGGTATAATCTATATAAAAAACGAGAAACACTTATGAACCACATCAACAAACGACACTACTGAACATCAGATTCTCTGACTTAGGACAGGTGCAAACAAATGAAGCGGGTTTAAACTTTTTAATGGTACCAAACCTTCACCCTTTTTCTGAAACAATAGTGTAACATCACAACATAGAAAGACACACTATAAAATATCAACTGAAATAGCTTAACTCAATCAAAGGACATATTAACACCAGTGAACATACACTGAACAAATAAATTTGACCTATGATACAATGTAAATACAAAATAAATAAACTAAGGGAAGAATAATAAAAGTAACATGTTATATCGGTATGAAATGTTAAACAATTTAAGAAAAACAATATGCTCGAACAAAAATATCAGCCATTTGCAATAACTTTAAACACAGGTAAATGAAAATAATTTTGTTGTTAGGTATACATGTACAGTTCCAATAGAGAAAGGAAATATTTTTACAAAATAAATAATTTTGATGTTCATAGTACGAAGTGAAACTTTATAGTTATACCAAACACTTATCAAAGCTGGTATATAGACCAGATATAACCCTGAATAACATTAAATAACAAAAAAAGCATTACAATTAGTATCAACAGGTCAAATAAACAAGAAAGTACGATTTGAGAGTACTCGCAGTTACTGACAGCTAGTTAAAAGCCAAAACAATTAATAATAAAAAATCATGCATCAGAGACTAAAATCAACTAAAACACATCCCAGGGATTTAGTTTTTAACGTCATGGACAGTCAAAGAAGACATGACTCATGTCTTTTCAGTGATGCTCTAAATTACCCTAAAGCATGAAAAGTAGCGAAAAAGACCAAAGATCTACCAGTGTTCTTGTTATTACTGTGAAATCTGTATATATTTAACCCTTTGAGATTTTGTTGGATAGGAGTTATTTAATATTAAAAGAATGTGCAGTATGAGTATGTAATAAATTGGAATAGTTTAGCTTTTTTGAAAAGTTATGGGGTTCTGAGCTTCCATAAATGAAACACTTGCCATTCTGAATCATCATCAATATTGCAGTTCTACATAGAATCTGACGGACTGTTCCGAGTATAAATTTACTTCCCGTCTCTGAGTTCTTTGTAAATAAAGGGTATTGTTACTGAGACTTAAGATAATTTTATATTTATTTATAGAATAGAGATAATTATATATTTTATTAACAGAATAGATATAATTTTATATTTTATTAACAGAATAGATATAATTATATATTTATATTTACAGAATATATCACCCTAAACTAACAGGACCAACAAAGAAGGAACTTTATGATGCAGCTACTTCAATTCAGAAAAATGTGCGACGGTTCTTAGTGCGATGTCGATTTGACAGGCTGTATAGAAAGGTAATGATTTATGAGACCAGGTTTTCTGTTTATAGGGATTTGGACTGGCACATTAACATGTGTAAGTGTTAAACTAGTTATGAGTTTTAGGTACAAGTAAAGCTGTACCTCATAATACCATTTTAAAGAATGCTCGCATTAATTGAAAGCAAGCTAAAAGTAGGATACTTTAACTTAATGCTTCATTCTAATATTTGTGGTTGTACTTCAATGTAGATTCAATTTAGTCATTTTAAAACAAATGCAGGTAGACAAAAACAAATTAAATTCGATCATAATTTCAGTATTAGTCTGTGAAAAGACAACCATCAAGTTTAGTCTTGTTTCAGGCTATCTTATAGTATTCCAAGAGGCAGAAAAATACTACACACAACATTTGAACAAAAACATTATAATTTTAACCTTTATCTTAAAGTCTATGTAGTCAAAAAGAGAGACTTGAAGGGCAATTCCTAAATTTGTTTGCTAAATAAATAAATAGTAATTATTACCAACAAGGCTAATTATGAAATGCAAAGTTTTGTTTTAATGGTGTTAATGGTTGGTGCAGTCTGGTGTAATGTTTAAATTTTTATTACTTTGTATTAATTTATCCTTTTGAATTAGTATATTGAGAAATCCAGGACTTTACATGTAATTATCTCCCTTTTCCCAAACTTTTAGATCTAACCATTCTTAAAGAATGTTAATCTGTATCAAATGCAGCAAACACAGTTATAATTTAATTCATTTGAAGAATATGTAATAGTTCTTTTTTCTTTGTTGTAGGCTGTTTGGTATGGGTCAACATGGCCAAAAATGGTCAAAGATTACAAGAATTCCCTGAAGAGATGTCAACATCGACATGGTGTAGATAGAGCCAAAACACCATTCACTATAGAGTATATGAATGATTATATGGAAGCTAGGAGAAGTATGTTAATAAGGGCTCTGACATGGTGTAGATAGAGCCAAAACACCATTCACTATAGAGTATATGAATGATTATATGGAATCTAGGAGAAGTATGTTAATAAGGGCTCTGACATGGTGTAGATAGAGCCAAAACACCATTCACTATAGAGTATATGAATGATTATATGGAATCTAGGAGAAGTATGTTAATAAGGGCTCTGCTGATAAATCGGTGGAAGGTCTTTAGTAATCAACTTGGTTATCCTTCAAAAATTGTTTCCACTTTCTATCATAAAGCCCCTTGGAGTTCATGATTATTCACCATTACTAGAATGTGTATAATGTGTATAATGTGTATAATGTGTATAATGTGTATAAAACCATACATTGAAAGTCAATGTCTAAAACTTTGTTCAACTTAGCCACCCCTGTGCACTTGTTCAAAAATTGTTTTCTTTCTAGCGTAAAACCCCTTCGCCCTCAGTGTGAAAACTTGGCAAGATTATTTAACACTTCTATGAGGTGTGTATCATGCACAATAGAAAGCCTTCATTGGAAATCTTGGTCAAATTTATTTTTTAACTTAACCACCCTTGTGCATATGTACTTAAATCTTTAAAACCCTTTGTAGTTAGAAAATGAAACATGACATTATTAATCATTATTACTAGAAGGTATTTCATGTACAAAATGTATATGACAGAAAACCTTACATTGTAGATCATGGTCAAGCGGTCAAAGATAACTGTACATTTTTTGGAATAATGTTGATTACTTCTAAAACTGCATCAAAATTTACCTATTTACATGCAGCTAGGCCTTTTTCCATCAATAAGGAAATATTTGGGGCCATTAAAATCAAACTGCTCAAAAGTCGAGTGAAACTAACCTATTAAACATTACACAATGTTTAGTAGATAGAACAATATAGAGTAACAAATAAAAATGGAATCTTAAAAGCAGATTGGATAAATGATATGGTACAGGGTTTACTGTATACAGAACAAAAATTACTCAATCATTCCGATTCCTTGGGTAGATATTGTGTACATTGTTAAAAGGTGTTACATTATCAGTGACAGATTTATTTTATAGTACCTAAAAGATAAAAAAAAGTATCAATGTTTAATCGTTGCTAAATAATGAATAATTATTATTAACTATTTTTAAGACTCATCTTCCATTGCAAGACACTTCATAGTATTTTTAAATGGTGTGAAAATATTTCTTAAGCAACTGTGTCATCATAATTATTATTTTGTTAAGGATATGAGAGTGTATTTGACAAGAAGGCCTTTGCTGGAGAAATGGAGTTTAGTGAATTGGATCAGTTTTTCAGGGAGAGCGATTTATACCCATCACAGTCAGAAATTGAGGAAGCTGTAGATGTGGTATTTCAAGGTGAATATTATTTATTCTTGGTTACATTTAGTCTTTATGATCATCTATAATACCAATTGAGGAGTAAAATTGAGAATGGAAATGGGGAATTTGTCAAAGAGACAACAACCCGACCATAGAGCAGACAACAGCCGAAGGCCACCAATGGGTCTTCAATGCAGCGAGAAACTCCCGCACCCGGAGGCGTCCTTCAGCTGGCCCTAAACAAATATGTATACTAGTTCAGTGATAATGGACGTCATACTAAACTCCAAATTATACACAAGAAACTTAAATTAAAAATGATACAAGACTAACAAAGGCCAGAGGCTCCTGACTTGGGACAGGCGCAATAATGCGTCGGTGTTAAACATGTTTTTTGAGATCTCAACCCTCCCCCTATACCTCTAGCCAATGTAGAAAAAACAAACGTACAACAGTACGCACATTAAAACTCAGTTTAAGAGAAGTCCGATTCCGATGTCAGAATAGGAAACAAAAGAAAATAAACAAAATGACAATAATACATAAATAACAACAGACTACTAGTAGTTACTGACATGCCAGCTCCAGACCTCAATTAAACTGATTGAAAGATTATGTCTTCATCATATGAATATCAGGCACAATCCCTCCTGTTAGGGGTTTAGTATTATACCGTCATAAAATATATGAGAAGAACATAACCCGTGTCATGCCAACAACTGGTTTTAGAATAAATATGTTTAATTCCGATGCAAAGACCCTATAAGTGAATCAATATTAAAGCCAAAATATGCAATCATTAATGACCTGACAACAGTATCGTAACTATATCCCTTCTTAATAAGTCTGTTTAAAGGTTTTGTTAGCTTTTGAGGTGAATACTGACATTTTTGTGCTGTGTAAAGAATATTACCATAAAAGATTGGATGTGAAATACCCTAACGTATAAGACATGTTTTGGAGTATCATCTCTCCAACTATCATATTAGATTAATCAGTACGATTCTGTAATCTGAATCGAGCATTCAAAGTGCAGTTTTTTTTCCTCACTCCTCATTATTTAGATTGGATTATCTCGGAAATAGTTTGGAAAAGAACATGAATTCAGAATGTCCTGCCCGTCACCTTAATCAGATTTATGTCAATACTTTGGTTTCCCATGTATGCACATGGAAAGTATAGATATGACCTAAAACCAAAAACACATCCAAATCTCCTGAAATGAAAATAAAATTGATCTTAAATTGAGTTGATAACAAACAGAATAAAGCAATAAGTGATTAAAATATTTCATGACTTCTTTCATGATCAGTCATGGTCTACTGACTTTGAAGTTTTTCCTTATTTAACATGTTTAAAAAGTTTGTTATTAGTACAGTTTAAGATGAACCACTAGTGGTAGCTCATTGATATTTTGTATGCAGTTGTAATAGCATTCACACATTGTGTATCCATGGAGATTATTTGGCCTTGCTCCTCAGTCATTGACTTTGAAAATTTTGCATAGTTTACATGTTAAAGTTTGTGATGAGGTCAGTTTAAGATGAATCCCTAATGGTAAGTCAGGGATATTGTATGCAGTTGTATTAGCATTTGCAGGTCTCATTTCTATAAAGATTATATTACCCTGCCCCCTGAATCATGGTCTGTTGACGTTGAAACTTTTGCATTTTACATGTGGAAGTTTTTGTTTTGGTCAGTTTTAAGGGAACCACTTATAATAAGTCAATGGTTTTTGTTATGCAATTGTATTACCATTGGCATTTCTCTTTTGACAGATATTTTATCTCCACCTTCAAATAGTTTAATGACTTAGAATGTCATGCATAGTTCACATGTTAAAGTATTGGCATTTTAATTTCAACGATTGTATTTTACCATCAAAATTACATACAGGTGAGACATATCTCTGTTTCAACAGTTTATTTACTAATTACTTTTCCTTAAACAAAAGGTTTCTTGGTGTTGTAGCAATTATAGTCACACTCAGTTGGGATAGTGTTATAGAAAGATATGTAAAAATTAACAAGTAAATATTCTTTATATTAATTGCTTGTTATAGTGTTTGTGGTATTTTACAGGACAAGCCTCATCAAAGAAAGGTTTACGTAAAAGTGACTTATTAGAACTAGTGTGGTATATCTATGTACCCAAAGCAGCAGGTTTACCTAATATGCGACAGTCAACCTGGTTAAACCCAATCATAGATGGGGTGGAGGCTCGTAAGCTGATAGGTAGGTATATCAATATATTGTATGAAGAACTGTTGATATTATATAGGTATGTACTACAGTGTATATATTTTATACAGAATAAGAAAGAAAAATCAACATTTTAAAACACAATAATACTAACTTAATACATATTTTTCACCATTAAGACACTTTAATATTCTGTTGATAATTGTTTTAAATATATTTGAAGAAGTTAACCATACATAATTCAATTATACACATATTTTGCTAAGTTAGCCATATGTAATTGAATTATACCCAGACTTTATATACTAATTAATGTTACTTTAACACAATTTTCTCATTATTTTTGGTTATTTAATTACAAGTTAAAACACTTGATGGTTTTTATACTTGCACATGCATTTCCAAACTTATACATATAATTGCCATATTGATGATAGTTTACACTGCTTTAAATGTATTTCCCAGTTAGGAATGAAAATTATAGGCTGGTTGTACTTGAGGCAATGTCCATATAAGATAATTGGAAGTAACCAATTTATTAAAAAAGAGCTTTTATTTGTGTTCTTCATCAAGACAGTTACTGAAAGTAGAGAGCTCATACCTTACAACAAAATCAATGTTCCCTGAAGTTCCCCCTCAAGTGGCTGTCTTCATGTTCTTAGATAACTAATATGTATGTCTTTGAAGAAACATATGCTTAAGTAATCAATTGATTGCATATAAAGTTTAGAGAAAGTCTTCCCACGCACTCTGTCATTTGTCTTTTGTTATTTTGTATCATTGGGTTGCTGTTCAGATATGTAATAGATTCACATGAGGCAACCATCTCAAGAAAACTAAGAAATGATCAATACATTAATTTGTTCTGGAAAAGTTCTTCTATTACTATCCTCAATCTTGATATTTAATGGAACATCTTCAATAATGAACTTAAGAAATCCATTATCCAATTGTATACTTATACCAACATTTCCTCACTTCTTACAATGCATACTTGTACACATATTCTCCATTGTTTGGTAATTCATATTTCTAGCCATATTTCACCCTTTTTGGCAATTTAAACTTGTACACCTTTTCCTCATCTTTTGATCATTTATATCTGTACACATATTACTCTGTTACCGTATTTTGTACTTATACACACAAATTGATATGGCAATTGATTGTGACTTTCTCGCACACAGACACTTATTCCCCCCTCCCTCCAGAAAAGTTACGTTTACATACATATTCCCCTTGTTACTGTATTTTATACTTTTGTATATATTTCTACACAATTGTGACTAATTTTAATGATTGTTTTTATTTAACACCAGCGGGCAAACCTAGTAAAAAGGGAGCCTTCACAAGTATGTTGCACTAGCATATGACCCTGTAGATATTATTTATATATCAGTTACCCATAGCTATTGTCCACATACCTAACATTATATATACATTTTTTACCCACAGCTTTTTCTATGCACCTAAAGTTATATCTTTTTTTTAACTGTAGCTTGATATAGATTAACTTATTTTGTTTAGATATATTTCTGCAGCTTTGAAAAGTTTCTGTAGTTGAATTTCACACCTTTTTAGATATATTTTAAACTTCATCTTTAAAAAAATACATCTGTATTAATAGCTCCAGTGTTGTAGAAGGGTGATATTGAAATCTCTATAAAATGCAATTTCATTAACATAATATCTATAAAATATTTTTATTTTATTATTTTATTAACAGTTAATCTCTCAAACTTTTGGGAAAGTATCTTTATCATGTTTATATGGATTTTCAAAATAATTGAAATGAATAAAACGTAATTTGGAAAAGTGTTTTCAAAATCTTTGAGACATTTTTTTAAATGACATTGATAGATAAGTTGCAGATCTATATTAGTTTGTGACAATTGAAAGAACTATTAATTATATCTGATTATAATTTGATATAGATATACATTGTGTAACATCATATTTAATTTTAGAGAACTATGTTTGCTTGATTAGTTAAACCATATTTCTGTTCAAAGGGAAATAACTCAAACTTATTCTATGAACCAGTAATGATAAAATAAGTATATGGATTCTGTTCAATTAATTTTAGTCATTAGTTGTCAAAATTTCTTTATAACTATTTTCTTTAAGTCATGTGTGTTATGAAGGTAGATGTCACAGTTGTTATGTGATATTTTATTTTTGTTGTGTGTGTTAATGTTTAATATTTACATGATCCTGTTTGGGGTTCAGATTTACAAATATCATTTTCATTATTAATTAGATAATAATCCATTTTAAATATTCGATCACAATCCAAATTCAGAGCTGTTTTAAGCTTAAATGTTTTGTCCAAACTTGCTCAACTGTTCAGGGTTCGACCTCTGCAGGAAAATCTGGTTTGCTGTCACTCGACAGCCTCTTGTTTCTGTATTTTACTGATAAATGGACTTACTTTTTAAAAATTTTTTATTTCTTTTTTTATTCTTTATTATACTGATAAATCGATTCACTTTTTACGGTCAATTTTACACTTTTACACTGACAGCAGCAATTGTAGACAAGACATAGGGTGTGGTGGAACCCTTAACAAATTTTTAGACCTGCCCAGCTTTGAGAATATTTTAAAAATTTATCATTTGTCATATTTTATGTGATGCATTTGTGAAACGTGTTGTTCTTAAGATTTTTACTCAATTATGTATTCAGGTATTGTCAAGGTACTAAGAAAAAAAATGAGGTTTTTGTGGGACTTTGTCAGCCGTAGGCATCTTTTTAAGTCACCAAAATAGTTAAACCAAAGATGGAATAAAGTATTAAACTTCAACCAGAGAGCAGCTTTTTAATCACATGTCCATTGCATTATTTATTTCTTTTAAATGTCTAATTATTTTCCAATTTGCTCAGTTTTGCACCAAAAGGTTCATGATTTGGGTTTTTGTTAGATGAGGGAAGTGTTTTAGGAGCAAAAAATATTGTATGATGGGGCTTACAGGGAATTCATTAACTTGTGAGATCCGAGAAATATTTATTTTTCTATTTTCTACAGGAAGTGAATTTGTGGAGAAAGCTCCATTAGAAGTTTGTGCAAAACTTGTTATTGACTCAAAGAGAGAGAGACGAGAAAAAGAGAAATTAGAAAACCTTAAACGTCAGGACGAAGATGCTGCCAAACTTAAGAAAGATCTCAGTCAGTTTCAATATGAGGAAGAGGATGAAAACGAAGGAATTAAAGGAGAACTGGCTAGAACTAGAGAGAGACTGTCCTCTACTAAGTCCAAGGATGATAGTCAGAATTAGCATTAGAATTTATTTAAGATTGTTAGGATTATGTGTACACATGACTTGAATGCTTTTTGGAATATCAGAATCAAGGTTACACATTACTTGCATTCCTTGAGGATTGTCAATATTATATGTATAAATGAATTTCATGCCTTTAGGATTGTCAGTATCATGTGCACACATTCTTGCATGCCAGGATTGTCAGAATCATGTGTACACATGACTTGCAAGCCTCTAACCTTTAGGATTGTCAGACTCATGCCTGCTTTTAGGACATTTTGAACATTTGTAATTTTAACACTTGTTTCCCTAAGCACATGCAAAACTTACAGACATGTAACTACTTTCTCACAAATTTATGCAATTTTTAACAATGTGGATTGCATGGTCAATTTTGTTATTTGATTTACAAATGAAGTTTTAATTCATTTTTATATTTATTTGTCTTAAGTGAAATGCAGGTTGGTGAGGAGTAGAAGTGTATTGATTCTAATCTGAAAGTTGGAAATTAAACAGAGCTATAAGTAATTCAATATATACTGGACAGGACATTAGAGAGATTAGGATTACAATGTGCCTTTGAGGTGTGCAAACTTCATTGTTAAATATCATAACTATTTATAGAATTGATCATATGATCATTTTTTTCAGAAAGCTTGAGTTTTCTAAGTCTTCATGTTTAGAATGTTTATTTATTTATAAGCCTAGTTAGACTGACACTTTCAGTTATTCATTTTTAGACATTTTATATATCATTCACATACATTTGTACATGTATTGTATAAAAAGTAAAATCACAAAAATACTGAACTCCGAGGAAAATTCAAAAAGGAAAGTCCCTTAACATATATTTCTTGCTTTATTTGAAATTTTATATATGCTTAATAAACTTTGGTTAGTTTGCCTAAACCTTTCTTTGTTTACATATATATATATATATTTCACCATTACTTTATGTTCTACTTTGCCACTGTATCCATGCCAGTTGCCAGTGTAATGTATCTAACCTTGGTGTATAAGTTAGAGATACAGCAAGTGTTGGCAGGGAGGCATAAAAGAAGTAATACTGTGTTCTGACATTGATTATATGCTCCTATGTGCATTGCTTCCTCTTCTACCTAATCAGGTGATGCGTTGTCTAGGGTGGATGCAGAGAGATGGGTCCTCTTAATATATCCTCAGATTAATTGTTCCCATCTTCCTCCATATTTTAAAACTTTTTGTCCTATTGTTACCTCTCCGCCTTATTTGACCACTGCCTCTCTACTGTAACAATCCTCCATCCATTATATCTTCTTTCAGCCTAGTTTGGATCCTGTTTTCCCCTTCATTTTGTGTTTGTGCTTATAGTTTGAAAAGCTTATAGATAGTTTCTTGTGCACAAGAGTCAGATAGCAATACTGTTTTATGGTTTATACCATGACATTAATTGAATGTTCCTTGTAAAATTTAATGACTTGTATAAATTGTAAATATTTTTACTTTTCTTGTCCAAAAGAAAAGAAACATGAACATATGGAATGATTGATTTGAGAAATATTGTAGTAAACACTAGTACATGTACAAACAGTATTGGTAACTACCAAGTGGCAAAAATCTTTTGTTTATAACAGAATAAGTTGTCTTTTAAATCTTACAGATTTTCTATCAATCTGTTGGCCTGTGTAAGGGAAAAAGAAGATACTAAGAGTTTTGAGGGGGTTGGAACAATACGAGGGAAACAAATTGGAATAAACCTTGTCATATGTGCAATAGCATGAATAAATGTAAATAGATCAATTTTATAGGTAAATTTGCAGAATATTACCACCCTATCCTTTTACCCTGTATCGTTTTTGTTATACGACCACAAAAAAATTTTTGTGGTCGTATATTGGTATGACGTTGGCGTCGTCGTCGTCCGAAGACACATTGGTTTTTCGCACTCTAACTTTAGTTTAAGTGAATGGATCTCTATGAAATTTTACCACAAGGTTCAGTACCACAAAAGGAAGGTTGGGATTAAATTTTGGGGGTTATGGTACCAACAGTTAAGGAATTAGGGGCCAAAAAGGGGCCAAAAATAAGCATTTTTGTAACTTCCAGACATAACTTGTGTGTTAGTGTATGGATCTCTCTGACATTGTACCACAAGGTTCCATATCACAAAGGGAATGCTGGGATTGATTTTGGGGGTAATTGCCTCAAAATTTTAGGAATAAGGGGCCAAAAAAGGGGCCAAAAACAAGCATTTTTCTAGTTTCATGACAATAACTTGTGTGTAAGTGTATGGATCTTTCTGAAATTGTACTACAAGGTTCCATATCACAAAGGGAAAGTTGGAATTGAGTTTGGGGGTAATTGCCCAAAACGTTTAGGAATTAGGGGTCAAAAGGGGGCCAAAAATAAATATTTTTCTAGTTTCCAGACAATAACTTGTGTTCAAATGTATGGATCTCTCTGAAATTGTACTGCAAGGCACCATACATTGTAACACAAAGGGAAGGCTGGGATTGAGTTTTGGGGTGATGAATCATAAGGGGGTTCAAAAAATTTGAGGGGGGATTTTTTTCCCCCTTTTTTTTCTTTAAAATTTTCCATTTTAAATTGGTTATTTCTGATTTATATATAAAAGCAAATAATAATGATATGGTTTGAATAGGTAAATTAAAAAATTTTAAGTTCTTAGACCACATTCATTCTGTGTCAGAGACCTATGCTGTGTCAAATATTTAATCACAATCCAAATTCAATGCTGTATCAAGCTTGAATGTTGTGTCCATACTTGCCCCAACTGTTCATGGTTCGACCTCTGCGGTCGTATCAAGCTGCGCCCAGCGGAGCATTTTATTTAACTAACCTTTCCCACATATCGTTCTTTTATATATTGTTAAGGTATATAACTTATTTCATTTGTCTTATTATATGTTATTGTTTATCATCTGTGATATAAAGGGAGCAAATATTTTTCCATGTTTTTATTTTAGATAATTTTATTTGTGATCTGTGATATTTCAAGGGTTTATTGTAATGTAATCGGCAATTGTTTAGACATGTTACTGCTGTTATATTGTTATGACTTTGTTAAAGTCTATGTAGATTCTATAAGTGTTATGTTGACAAAGTTAATACACTAGGACATTTAGTTGTAAGACATTACTGCTGATGTGAGCTATTAATGAGGGTAGGAATGGTGTCGAATGTCCCTTTCATTGCCACTGTTAGCATCAAATGAGCATAAAAAATGTATCCTGATTTATCAAGTGCTGCTTTGTTAGCATCAAAAGAAGAAGAAAAAAATCAACATTTATTTCAATCAATTTTTTACATTTTTCATGTGAGGTATCCCATTCCCACCCTCATCCATTACTTATATTTTTATTTAATTTATTCTATTTTATAATGTTTAGATCACAATTTACATAATTTTAGGGAAAAGTATTTCTTTTCTTTTTTTATTAATTCTTTAAGCACTGATTGAATATTTGACATTCTGATGTGTGAAAGTAAAATAAATATGATAGTTTGATAGTTCACATGGTATCTATCTTTAGAAACAATATTGTTGACAGTATTACCATTTGTAAATATTTGTTTATTTTGTTTTTCTGCTGATAATAAAGCCAAGCTGTGATGTCATTATCTTTTGTTTTATGTAAGTGGAATGGTGGATTACTGTTGTATGGATCCTATACTTTGATTCTCAAGCTGTAGATGTGTTATTGCCCTGTGGTTATGCCTTTGTTCTTCGTGTTGCTAGGGCACTTTACAGTCTTTACATATTGATAGAATAGCTCATTCCGAATGGGGACTCTTTAAAAGCTGTCCAAATTTTTCTTTAAATTTTCCTAATTGTGTTATCTGTTGTCATAGCCTTGATGAGGTTGGTAGGATGGCAGGGTTAATATGACATCTTTCTGGAAGTGAACAACAAAATCATAAAACTAATGGTTGAGGAGTACAAAGAGGCTTGATATAAAATCACAATCTGTTGTATACTGGTAGCAAGGACAGTAGACATGTTTGTTTGAAACAAATTGAAGGCATAGTTCTTCAGGTTAATGGTATTCCAGACTAAATGATATTGTGCATCTCTTACTTTCTATTCTAAATCGTTCCTATGATGGTCATTTGATGAGAATTTTCCAAAACTAGCCATTAAAATATGAACATCGATTTTATTCCCCATGTTGGGAAAGAGATGCGAAAGATACCAAAGGGATCATCAAACTCTCAAGTCGAAAACAAACTAAAATAGGCATGACAAAAAAACAAAAACCACAAAAAGACCAAACAACAGTACACATGACACAACATAGGAAACTGAAGACTGAACACGAACACCACTAAAAAATCGGGAGTGATCTCATGTGATCCAGGAGGGTAAACTGATCCTGCTGCACATGTGCATTCGTCTTGTTTCTCATGTAATTACAAACCTGGTGATAAGTCCAATTCAGTGTGTCGCATATGAGGAAAGAGGACAGGATTGGGATTACGACAATTGAAACATATCTGTCGTCATCTGTGATATTCCATAACAGTTAACCAAGTGGTGATGTCTGTAAAATTTTCGATGGGATGATTTCAACTTCACATTCCTTCAATGGAACTCTTGGTTTAATACTGTAAATTCTGGAACTTTTGTGATGTTTTTATTATTGGAAAGTTCACACTTGGGAAGCTGAAATCATCTCTTTTGTCCTAAAGTTTTGTTCTCAACCGACCCTCATTGTCAATTTCTCGATATAAGTCCAGATAAGAGGCAGAATTAACTGTATCTGTTGTTTTCTTTTTTCAAGTTCGATGGATAGATGTGTCAACAGTCACCAAACTTTGTATCTGCATCTAGATAGTGGAGTGTGCAGTTAAAGGATACATCTAGCTTCTTTCCATTCTTCCCAAGAAACTCGTGTATGATCCGCCTCATATGAATAAAGGAACAAGTCGACAAGGAGATGAACACGATTGGTTCCCATGGGAATGCCGATTGTTTAAAAACTAGTCCTCAAACTTACCAAATATGTTGTCAATCAAGAAATCAAGCATCTTGAAAATGTCAGTTTCTGAGAATTTTTTTGTTTGAATCAGAGTGATATTTTACAAATAACGAATTATTCCTCACTAAGACATACATTGGTCAATATTTTTTATGAAACAAAGTATGATCAATTCTTTCTATTTGTCTTTTAGTTGTGAATGTTATTTATTTGATTTTCTTTGAGAAATACGTGCAATTAATTAACATGGCTTTTTTAGTTTTCTAGACTTATTGTTGTGTTCGAGCTTTTGGGTATAGCTGTTTGTTAATTGTTGAAGTCAGTTGACCTCTGCCTCATTTATATATACCTTTGTCTTTAATGGATAACTGGGATGCAAGATTGATTGTTAGTTGCAGCATCATGAGGATGTGTTTTAAGGGTATGAATACATATACTTCAAGTAATAGGTCAACCCAAACTTCCCTGAACAGCTTAATATATCATCTATATATGGTAAAGGCTATACATTTTTTGTAGTTGTCTGCTTACAGTTTCGGAAGTCAACACAAAGTCTTTTGGGTCAACTCTTTTTATCAACTTGTCCATTATGATCACGGGAACTAAAGTAACGAGCTTTCCCTAAATTGGGTAATATATCATATTATATATGTTACAGGCTATACATTTTTCGTAGTTGTTTGGTTCAATTTTCGAAAGTTAACACAAAGTTTTTTTTAGATCAACCCTATTTATCTTCAGTTACAACTGGAGAACTCAAAGTTGATCATGATTTCGGGATGATGTTGGCAGATAAAATGTCATCAACTGGTTTGTCAAATATTTCCCTTTTAATGCATTGGTGTCATGTAAGGATTTTTGTTTTATAGGAAGATTCGCAGTATCAATCCATTTTTAATAAATCCGTATAGTTTAATTTAGACTCTAGTAGCAAATAAACTGAATTATTTTAATTAAGTCCGTAATAGTATATTTGTGTTCAGATTGCGCCTTGGAATGATTTCAGTCCATAAGAGCCCCATTTTCAAATTTCCTTCCTAATTATTTGATTCTCTAGCTATTAATATTGAAAACATTTTGCACTTTGATACAGTCTGTAACTTTCCTACCAATTTTCAGAGAATGTTTTTTATCTGTGGTACCCGTAGTAAAAACTGAATATCTATTTTTACTTATTTTAACAAGTGCCTCTGTTACCAGGATATCAGTGATATATTAATTGTCAAAATCATCCAAGCAACCACACTCCCCGAAATCAAATGATGGGTCACTGCTGGTACTACATTATATCGGTGACCCAAGCTACATCATCCCCAGAAATCTAATGATTGTACAAAGTTCAAACCACAGTGTCTGTGAATCGTTTCTGAAGATAAATCTTCGTGAAAGCTCTAATAAGTCCTTGCATGTATACAAACTATCCTGCTTTAGTAAAAATACAAACCACAAATCATTTTAATGTCATTTGTCCAGGGTGCAGGTTAAATTTTAAAAAAAAAGACGAGTAGTTTTGGGAAAAATTTAAACCTCCATTTGTTTTACGGAAAGACCTCAAATGAACTAGTTTCACTCAGTATTTTCTACCTAGATACTGCTTTAGTTGTAACAAAGATACTCAACAACTGTTAATTCCATTTTACACAACATTTTGAAATCAATTGATCCTTGCCGTTTTAGTTTTTAAGGCGGCGATTGACATTCACTATCCGAAACAGCAATTCAATGCGTTCCGGATGTCAATCTTTACCAAGTCATTGGAGATTTAATTCTAGAAATATATAGAATGAAAATACAAAAGTTATTAAAACAAACTGTCTAGAAACCAATACACATTTAATAATGTTTGACGTTAACCATGGTTATTTGTCTTTCGTTTATTGTTATTCATATTTTTGAATTTGAAAATAATACATGAAATTACTTTGCTTTTAACAAAAATATTTCAATAGAATTTTTTTTTTTAAAGTCTTAATAAAGTTGCTATATGAATGTCTTCTTGTACAGAAATATATGTGTTTTCAACTCTTAAGCACCCTAAACCATAGCATAATCACACACCATTTTGAATTGACTGGATGCGTCTTCAAAAACATTAATATATATTTTAGTGACTTCATAAAATTAGTGACCCATTTATTAAAAATGTAATATTAGTTTTTTCCATCAATTCAAGTGGATTCCTGTTTATCAACTGCAGAGGTAAATAAAAACAAAATATTTAGGACAGTTTTGTGAACATTTTCAATGTATATACCTTTTTTTGGACTTCAGGCTAAATTTATTGTTACAGTAAGCATTTTTCTATTTGTACTCATCTCGTGTGCTTCCCCCATGAGAAGAGCGTTTTGGTTTACCTACTGGCAACACTAGTTCCTAACATATCCCTTTCCTCTACAGTCCTTTTATTTACATTTCCAACAAACAACATCTGATATAGAGAAGTTATCACTTGTATCAATCGTTTTGAAATAATTAGATAGTTCTGACGAAATATACATTCTCTTGCATTACTCATGTTCCCATCTTCTGACAAAATCGTTTCATGGTAGATAATGATCAACCCGCATAGGTTCATGAGGATTTTGAATTTTTGAAGAATGACCATACTTTAAAACAAACCTTTTTCGTAAGTTTCCATTTTATATTGTACCTGTAATAGCTTCTTTCAAGTTTGCAGGATTGTCCCCCATAACCTTCATTTGTATATGAATGCTCATTTTAAATGTCATTCAATTACTGCAGCAACCCAGTCTTGAACCCAAGCATATGCTTCTTCTGCTAAGGACAAGAACCGTTCTACATAATTTCGTTGGAAAGCTATGGTTTTAATCCAATCTCGTACAGTATTAGTTGAAATTAATCATTTCTTAATTAACTTATCCAAGTGGAAATTTCTTGTTGATCAAAGGAGTGATTATATAAGCAACGCCTTGACCCAAAATAACACTAGAAAGACCAGTCATTTGTAAAGTCAAATTATACAAAATTATGGAACCAGTCACAATTGTTTCAGGTGTTAAAATTAAATAAAGTCGTTAATGATAAATCTGCATACCAATAACAAACACAAAATAAACAATGCAGTTACACCACTGCCCTCGGTAAGGGGGAGGGAAGTGAGATCGAGCTCACACACATCTTTACTCCCACCAAATTCTGTATATGCCTGTCCAAGTCAGGCACTTGTAATTCAGTGGTTGTTCGTCATATTTGTTTTTCGTTTATTGTGGTCATAAATCTGGACGTCGCTTTTCTTGTTGTATCTTGTAGGGACCATAAAGCGAACAACACGGTATTGGTTTTACACATCGTAAAGGTCATATGGTGACATACAGATGCTTACATCCGCATCATTTGGACTCTGATGGATAGTTGTATCAATGGAACTCATACCGGAAACAATATCTATAAAACACCCAACTTTACGCTTTCTGTCTGTACTTCTGGTTAATAATCATTGTGTATTTTAAAAAGATGTATAATTTTTTAATATGTAATTTTTAGGATTTTGTAAGAATTGAAATATGCCATTTGTTTCCCAGGACAAATGCAGAATGTAATAAAACAGGACCCCTATGTCTGCTTTCCTGGGCTGCTTAGGGATATTGTATAACAGAGGAAATTTGAATAAAACGATTT